TAGCGCGTTCGTAAGTCCGAACGGTATAATAGTGTATTCCCATAGGCTAGAAGGCAGTAGAAAGGCTGTCTTCCATTCGTAGCCTTCCTTGATCCTAATTAAGGCAAAAGCTGTGTTCTAGTCTAGCTTTGTGTAAATAACTACCGACCTAATCGCATCTCTTAAACTCTAGAGATTAAGCAAGGGATACACATCCCTTACTATAGCGTCGTTTAGTCCCCTGTAATCCACACAAGGCCGTCCCTTTAGATCGTCCTTCTTGTGTGCGATTAGTATATTCGATGCTATAAGGGACTTAGATTTCCTAATCTACCCCTTTGCTAATGCTTTTTGCATATACTCCTCGAGTATACCTAAAGTCTGCGGGTTGTGCCAGCGAAGCTTCTGGCAAGGCGGCTGCTTACCCTCTTTCAGGTTGATCTCGTAGTCCTAGAGCTAATGTTTAAGTAAGGCCCTTAAATCTTCGGGGTCCTTAAATAGCTTAGTGTACTTCCTATAGGGATAAAGTATTCCCTTTCGTCCCTAGTCAAGCTGCCTAGCGGTTACTTGATCCTATGCCTTAGAGGCCGTAGCACTAGCCTCCCTAGGTCTTTATAGTCATTCGTTTAGGCAATCGCATCGATTTAGCCTCAAACTATGATTTATCCAATTGAGTTCTAAGTTGTGCTCCCGTAGCCAGGGGATCCCTAAAACCACCTAGTATCGGCTAATAGGAGCAATGTTTAAGACGATTATCTTAATATATCCTTATATTTTCATTCGCAGAAGGGCTGTCTTATATATGACCTTTCCCTCGTTTTAAGCGATAGCTGTCTCATCTATTGTACTTAGTCGGTACGGCTCGTCTTTCGGCTAAGCTAGTATGCTTAGCTAGGACACTACTTCCCCTAAAATATAGTTTCCCTAAGCTCTTAAGTCGAGCATAATTATAGTTAATATTCCATAGATTATTGCTTGTATATAGAAGTAATTCGTACTTCCCCGAATTGTTTTCACTATTACACTTAGTTCCCTAGAGGACTCCTTAATGAATTTCACCCAAGCTTATCAACATCCTTCCGTTGTGAGGATTTCCACCACTTTTTGATTAGTAAACTAGTATTCCTATCTTTTTAAGGATGTGTTTTATTCCTTTAGTCGGTATAGAGTTCTTTCCCGCAATCTGGCTGTAAGTGGGTTGTCTTATCGCTATACTGCGAACTTTACTCTCTATCCTTTAAAGGATGGGAATACCGCTTCCCTCTAGATCAAAAGGCCTTGGTTGTATGCAACTATTTCCTAGATTTATCCTACCTCCAGGACCTCATCTAGTGGTTAGGGCTAGTCCCCTTGCTAGTTGAAGTAGGATACATATACGGGTAACCGAGGTGCCCGGAGGGCAACCCTCTATGCGTCTCGATATACAATAGTATAGTAGGTTCTAGTTTCCGGCATATTTATCCCCTTTTATAAAAAGCTAACATATTCTTCCTTTCTCCTATACTTCGGTTCCTAAGTCACTAAGAAGGAACCCACACTAGTAATAATCCACTCCTTGTTGACTTTAAGGAAACGTTCCCTTAGAAACTTAACTAGACTAACCCCCTCGAGTTGATAGTCTTCCCCTTAGACACTCCTCTCAACTAGAGTTCCTAATTCCTCTAACCCGTCGTCAGAATCATAGAGTTTAGGCGTGCCGTCTGGAGGTCCCTACTAGTCGCTATCTGAGCCTAGCTAAGTATCGTGCTCCCATTCTTCCATACGATGGGTAGTATTAGCTTGTCTTAAGGTCTCGGTTTCCTTAGTAGTATTAGCTTGCTTGCCTTTTCCCTTATTATAGGAAGATACAACGTGGCTAGGTAGTCCACACTTGTAATAAAGTCCCTTCTCTCGACGCTCCTTCCTAACTTCTGGCGAAAGCTACTTCTTAGGCTTCTTCCTATAAAAGCCTCTTCTTTCGCTCTTCCTCTAACTTCTAGCTATGGTTGCATCGAGCTGTATAGGGTCCCCCTTATTATATGACTTTAGAGAACTCTGTGTTTAACGATAAGAGTATACTTCTTTTCGCTTAAGGCGCCTCTTATAGAACCGCTTATCGAATCTTGCGGCTAGGCGTATGGTTTCCTGGAGGCTAGTGGATTCTAGCTCTACTCGAGTGAGCTCGTCCTTAATAAACTCCTTGAGGCCTATGTAGTACGTTCTTTTCAGAGCCTTTCCATTCCATCTAGCCTAACTAGAATACTACTAAAACTTAGAGGTATAGTCCTTAACAGACCTTGTTTATTATAGCCTCAACAATTCCCTTTCAGCCGTTTTCTCGACTTCCAGATCCCCGTAAACCCCCACTATAGCCTTCTTAAATCCTCCAAACCCTCTGAAGATAACCTTAGTCTCTTCCCTAGTACTATTGAGGATCGTTCTAGTTGTTGCGTGTCGATTAGTCATATAGTCAGACAAGTAGGCCTTAAACCAATTAAAGGCTAGTCCCCTTAGGTAGCTAGCGGCAAAAGCTACCTTGGCCCCCTCGCTAGGGAACAAGTGCGGGTTGAACATTAAATAGATATCTATAGAACAAAGGAATGATTCGAGCTTGTGTCGGGTACCGTCGTAAGTGTCTAGTACCTTAATAGCTAGGGTACGTTCCTGTACCGCGATAGTCGTCACCTCCGTGGGTACTAGGGTCTCTACTCGTCTAAAGGTAGACATAGTTGCCGAATACTAACTTTAAGACTAGGTGCTCAAAGTGTCACAACTCTCTCCTTACCCTAGTAAGGTCACGTGGGTTAGTATAGTGAATAAAGTAAGATAAGGCAATAATATAATAGTTAGGAAAACTTAATCAAGTTGAGCACAAAGCTCCTATCTATAGCAGAAGTGCTAGTTATATATACTGCCCTCAGTAGTGGGCCAAGATAGAGCGCAGGAGTTCCTAGGAGCCCCGTCCGCTCCTCAGTGCTCCTCCACGTGACCCAGAGCTCACCGAGATGACTCAGCGAGCTCACGTGCACGTAGTCGTAACAATTAATTATTCGACGAATAAATATAATTAATTTAAAAAAAATAATTAAGACGGAAATAATCGGGATTTAAAAAAATAAAACGAAAAGTTTTTTAAAAATTTAAATAATTATAATTTAAAAAATTAAAAAAATTAATAATAAAAAATTTTTTTTTAACGATTATAAAAATTTTAACGAATTATTCGGAAAAAAAATCGAGAAATTCGGATTTTACGAAAATAAAATAATATTATAATACAACGATTAAAAATTATTAAAGCGAATATATTTTAATTAAAATAATTAATTATATTTGCCGTTATACGAGTTTTTATTTTATTAACGATTATTAAAACCGTTATAAATCGTAGAAAATTATCGGTTAATTTTCGGAATATTTTATCGTTTATATTAACCGTATGTAACGAGTTGAACCACTCGTCACATGCTACACACGTGGAATAGGTCCACCAGTGCCCGTATCATGTATAAATAGCCTTCGTCTCCCTCCGGGAGACTCTCTTCTCCTTTCTTTAGCTTAGTATCTTCGAATAGAGTAGTCTACAACGCCTTTATTGTGCTTTCTCGTACGTGCCGTCACATTATACTAAGCTCTCCTCACTACCTAGGAAAGCCTATTATAATATCCCTTCGCTAATCCTTCTACTTCATCTGCACTATCTAGGATAGTGTTCAGCGTTACTTAGCTTCTTAGCCGCAGTACTATTCAAAGAACTAAGCCCCTTCTGCGTCTAATGTGACGTTCAACAACCCTTCTGTGCTACACTTAGTAGTATTCAGCGAACTACGACCTTAAGCCCTCCGCTAGAGCCCTTAAATCAGTCGTACAAAACCCCCAGACAACCAATAATAGCTCCCAAAAGCCAAAACCCTAAGGCACTAGCCAAAGGTACTACTACCAGGGACGGATCACCCTCTATTCGCCCACAGACCGACAATCAAGAGGACGCACTTAAAGTCGAGCTTCCTAGGCACGGAATCGACTTTGAAGATGATAATACCCCGGATCCTACTTTTATTACCCAACTTTAAGAGGAGGTACGGACTTTACGGACTAAGTGTTATTAAGACCGAGACCTACTAGCCCAAATTCTAGCCTAGGTCACTAAAACCAACCCTCAAATAGGAGCGTTACCAACTCGGACACAAACTACGTTTCGTACGATCGAAAGAGGCACTCCTAGTTCGGACTACATGTCCCAAAACACCGGAAGACGCTTTAAAAAGCCACATCAAAGTTAGCTACTCTCTAATAGGACCAACCCAATGTTCGCTAGCTAGAAGATCCTCATTCAAGGAACGTTTCGTACGAACGATAGTTACTTTGAGGACGAAGAAGACAAGATACTCTACTTGTTTGATCAGACCACTAGTGATGCTCAGAAGCACCTTTAGCCCCACTACGACTAGGACTCTCAAACACGCTTCGTCTCAGCACAAGAGATGCTCGACCACTTGGCTACTATTTACGTTAACCCTAACCAAGTACAGGATGCACGCCATGAGTACAACCGACTCCTGATGATGATCGGACAGCCTTTTGCCGAATTTCAGACGCAACTCCTGCCAATCATTGGACACAGAGCTTAAACGGATCACGGCCAGAGAGAGTCAGCAGCGACGACAGCGCTCCACGGTGACATCACCTCCTGCGATTCCTCCTGCTTCCACGACCACACGTCTAACTAGCACAATCCTCACGGGCCCGCGTCTAGACTCTACCACTATGAAAGCTTCTAAGTCGCCAAATGACCTATATGCGAGCCAATCTCATCAGGGAACGCCCTCAGACCCTGCTGAAATCACATACTACAATTGTCACAAGCGTGGACATATAGCCCTTGCTTGCCCAGAGCCTCGTAGAGGAGATGTCAAAGAGATTGACAAACAATTGTACGAAGATGGCCAAATATAGGACAACAAGCCGGGAAACGAGGAACCCTAGGGCAAGACTCCTACCTAGGGTATGCGATTAGTCTACTAAAGATTGATTTAAGTCGATTAATGGGAGGCAAGCACTTCACAATTCCATGTACATTATCAAAGAATAGATATAGTATTAACCTCTCTGCCCTTATTGACTCTAGAGCTAATAGCTTTGTGTTTATGGATACTACTTACGCGAATAACATTACTACTTTCTTAAACCTCAAACCTCAACCTCTTATACAACCTATTATTCCCAAGGGATTTAATAAACAACCCGGGAAGCTAGTTACCCATTTTATTACCCTTTATCTATCTTTAGATAGCCAAAGACAAGAGAACATCCCGTTCCTAATTCTAGACTTAAGCAACCATAATATAATCCTTGGTTTGAAATGGATATTATACTTTAATATATAGCTTAATCCACAAGACCAAAGACTTATGTAGCCTAATAAATCTAAGCATACGGCCACGCCTTCTTTCCAAAGGGAGATTTTAGTTCCTAGGACTACTCTCTAGCGGGGGAAGACTCAAACTAAACATTAGAAAGACGTTTACGCCCAGGATTATGCTTTTGCACTCGAGGATCAACGCAAGAGAGATGAACAACACCTAATGGTCTCGATACAAGTTATCACACACTCGGAACAAACCCTTACAGACCGTCCGTCGTCCGCAGACTTAAACATAGTCTCCAATCTAATAATAACCACTAACGGCACGTACGAGAAGGACATTAGGCACTAGCTCCGTCTTATAAGTCAACAGCTAGTAGACGAGCGGCCTACCGACTACCCAAACGCCACACACCGTATAATACCAAAGGCACTGCCTATAGTCGATATCGCTCAGATTAGTGCCGTAGGATTCCACTTTAATATATATAGCCTAAATAATAAGGTCTTCTCTACTACTATGTATGAGATTGACTTACTTATTAAAGAAAAGGAAGCGCTTGCTATTAAGGACTAAGAAACAATAGACTCGATTCAAAGGAAGTTGCCTACAACTTACCGAGAGTTTATAGACGTCTTCTCTAAGGTAGAATCCAACAAGCTGCCACCACACCACCCATACGACCACAAGATCCACTTAGAGAGCGATACACCACTAGGATATAGCCCGCTTTACAACTAGTCAGCGGACGAGCTTCAAGCCACTAAGCAATATTTGGTCGATAACCTAGGGAAAGGATTCATCGTCCCTAGCTAAGCACCATATACCTCGCCAATCCTCTTTATTAAGAAGCCCGGTGGGGGACTACGCTTTTGTATCGACTACCGGAAGCTTAATGCCCTTACTCGGAAAGATCGTTATCCGCTACCTTTAATTGATGAGACTCTAGCCCGAATTAGCTAAGTAAAAGTCTTTACTAAACTCGACATTCGCCAAGCATTCTATAGAATACAAATAGACACTTCTTCTAAAGACTTTACGACGTTCCGTACTCGATATAGGTCGTACAAATGCAAAGTCCTACTATTCGGGTTGACTAACGGCCCGGCAACATACCAACGGTATATAAATAACATCCTTTTCGATTATTTAGACGTCTTCTATACCACTTACCTAGACGATATTCTTATCTACTCCGATAACGAGCTAGAATATGAAGAGCAAGTGAAAAAAGTCTTAACTCGACTATAAGAAGCTAGCCTTTAAGCCGATATCAAGAAGTGCGAGTTTGGAGTTAAGCGTACGAAATACCTAGGGTTTATTATTAGTACGGAAGGCATAGAAGTAGACTAAGAGAAGGTGTAAGTTATCCACAACTAGTAAGAGCCGCAGATGGTGAAAGGTATCTAATCCTTTTTAGGATTCTGCAATTTCTACCGGCGATTTATTCAAGACTATAGTATAATCGCTAAACTATTGACGCATCTCACGAAAGTTAATACTCCTTTTATCTTCGATAAAGAGTGCTAAGAAGTATATTAAGAGCTAAAGCGATGAATAACCATAGCACCGATCCTATAGCACTATAACGCTTCGTATGAGTCAATGCTAGAAACCGATACATCCGACGGAGTTATAGCCGGCATCTTATCGCAGCTACACCCAGACGGGGAATAGTACCTAGTAGCCTACTTCTCTAAGACAATAGCCCCTGCCGAATGTAACTACGAGATCCACAACAAAGAGATGCTAGCTATCATACGATCCCTGTCCCAATAGAGAGCAGAACTATAAGGCGCCTAATCTCGAGTTAAGGTCTATACAGACTATAAAGCACTAGAATACTTTATGACAACTAAGTAGTTAACTAGCCGACAAGCCCGCTAGGCCGAGATCCTATCCTAGTTCTTCTTTATAATCATATACACACTAGGGAGAAACAACCAAAAAGCAGACGCTTTAACCTGAAGAGAACAAGATGTAGGCCCTTAAGACCAAGCAAAAGCGGTATACTATACGAGAGCACTTCTGCAACCAGACAACCTAGACCTCGCTATACGGCAAAAGCTTCTTTTAGAAATCACAGCTATCGACTCTTACGAATCCATAAAACTAATAAACTGTCTATTAGATGCGAACCGCACATTACAATCCCTTAAAGAATTGTGTGCTTAAGCTTCGGAGGAGTCGGATTTTAGGCTATAAGATGGACTTCTCTTCTTCTAAGATAAGCTCGTAGTCCCAGACGAAGGCACGCTCCGTACGGAGCTAATTCGTGAAGCCCACGCCCAAATCTCTACTACTCACCCCGGATGGAACAAGACAATTCAACTCTTACGGTTATAGTACTACTAGAGAGGCTTAACGGGTTGGGTGGAACATTATATCTGTAATTGCCACGCTTGCCGACAAGCCCATAAACCGCGAGACCGTACGCCCGGACTATTACAACCCCTGCCAGTGCCAGACTACCCTTAGTAGTATATATCAATAGACTTCAAGTCGTTCCTTCCCAACCAAAAAGAGTACAATGCAATTCTAGTAGTAGTCGATTAGTTAAGCAAACAAGCGTTTTCACTACCTTATTTCAAGACTACTATAGCGAAGGATATAGCAAAGCTCTATATCCAACACATCTATCGTACAAAAAGAGTACCAGACTCAATCGTGTCTGATCGTGGCCCCTAGTTTATCTCTAGCTTTTGGCATGAATTTTGTTGAATACTAGGTGTGAAACTAAAGCTGTCTACAGCCTACCACCCCCAAACAGACGGTCAGACAGAGATTATAAACTAGTACATTAACCAACGGTTACGCCCTTTTGTATCGTACTACTAAGACAACTAGTCAGACATACTCCCTCTTATAGATCACGCGCAGCTAGTACTACCTTATGACTCCATTAGCATATCCCCTTTCCGGTTACTCTACGGATACAACCCACGTATGTCTTTCGATTAGAAGACTCTAGTCAAGCCTACGAACGCACGATAAGAGCTAAGCTATGAGGAAGCCCATACTATGGCTCGACGAATGCAGGATGCCTAGGAGCAAGCTCGTACAATGATGCAGAAGCAACAAGACAAGAAAAGGCGGGATGTAGACCCCCACCGACAGCTAGTAGACTTCAAGGCTAGGGATAAGGTCTGGATTTCGACCAAGGACTAGAGGACGCATCGACCAAGTCGAAAGCTCGACCACCAAATGGCAGGACTGTACAAGATTATAAGGCAAGTTGGGAACTCGTACGAAGTTGCCCTACCTAAATCAATAAACATACACCTTGTCTTTTCACTAGACAAGCTTAGGAAGGCTACCAACAACCCGTTGCCAGGACAAATTAACGACCCGCCACCCTTAGTACAGATCTCAGAAGACGATGAGTGGGAAGTAGACGACATACTTGCTGTCCGTAAGCGTCGAAATAAGCTAGAATACCGTGCAGGTTAGACTAGATTTGACAAAGACCCCGAATAGTACCCCGCATCGGACTTTAAATATAGCCTACATAAGTTAAGAGACTTCCACTTATAGTACCCGGAGCTTCTAGGGCCTCCGGCTAGGCTTAATGAGTGGTTGAAAGCGTGGGAAGAAGGTAAGGACTTGTATGACGAGCTAGACAATAACACGGAGATAACACAAAGCTTGAGGGCAAGCTTTTTTAAGACGGGGGGTGATGTAACGAGTTGAACCACTCGTCACATGCTACGCACGTGGAATAGGTCCACCAGTGCCCGTATTATGTATAAATAGCCTTCGTCTCCCTCCGGGAGACTCTCTTCTCCTTTCTTTAGCTTAGTATCTTCGAATAGAGTAGTCTACGACGC